ATGAGTGCCCTATAAAGGGTTAATACTGATACAAAATTGTACAGTAGCATTTTATTCTGATAGCTCATTGTAGTGGAGCTAATAATAAGTACTGTAACAGTGCATAACATATTTTACAAGGTGATGAACCTGCAAAGAAACTAGTAACTACAACTGTCAGATCATTGTACGAGTTAAACATTATTTTTCTCTCTGAAATGTAGAGTAGAAGTAGTAGAAAAGGAGAATTACGTAAGAACAAGTACCTTCATCTCCACAATATAAAATCAGTTTTCCAGTCTTTAAGATTCTAGTATATCTTGCATTGAAAACCCTGTTTATAAACTCAACAAAAGGGACTACCCTTTCCCTAAGTTTGATATATTACCAAATTATAGTTCTTCCCAGAAAAACTTTCAATGAAACTTATTCATGTATATAAAAAGTCAGTACAACAAGTTTAATTTTTATTATTTTAATCCACTGAAGTCAACACAGATAGGGTCAAATGCTGACAGGACTGATGATTCCCCCCCCAAAAACCCTGGTGTCCTACAAAACATACATGACCGAGAGAGTATCACACTTGCTGGGAGAGGGGCAACAACAGTGCTCAACATCACAACTCAATAACCATTACCAAGAAACTTCCCCGAATGCAAATCACTTCACATTATAGCTTGGCATACAAAATCTACACTTGACAAGGCAATGAGGAGGAGATAACCCAGTGTTTTACAGTATGGCCGTACAGTGCCGTGAAACTGACAACCCATTGCGGTTCGGTTAATACAGTTACTACCTCGAGTGGACTGACAATGTCGGGGCAGGTGGGGGGAGTGTAAGAGGAAGAAAAACTGTAATTCATTCACAACACTAACACCGAGAACAGTGGACACATCATCAGCACACTGTGAGGGATTTCATATACAAACTGAAGCATTTTTCATCAGGTCTCAAAGATCATCGCTCCACTTCTTTAAAGAGCCTTCATAGATACAGTGTGCTATCAATATCTTACAGAACAGGCAGGCAAGTATCAACAAATATCCTAAATTGTACAGACATATCCAATACAAATAAAAAGTTGCAAGCTCACATACATTTGGATTGTTACAGGTGCAAAACAAAATTGTTTCAAAAATAATAAAATAAAGTGGGTAAATGGTGACTGTGGCTGCTGTTCTTACAGAGCTTACACGATTGCAGTGTGGACATCATCTGCACATATACAGCAAAGGTCATATAGCACCAGGTGGAGAGGTTGTCGGCAAATCTCCCGTCTAGCTTTTTCGTGGTGTCTGAACAACGTACACCGGATTGATTATTGGAAGCTTGTTGCCCTGACAACCTCTTAACAAACGTGAGGAAGAGAAACGTAATTATGAAATGAAGGAATAGGTTCTCGGACAAAAATGTAATGTGCCATCCGTTTCTCCCCTCCCCCTCCAACATTCAGGGTGAAGCTGAATGGGAGGTTTTAACCGTAACATACCCTTTCTTTTCCTTCTCAGTGCAGTCAGCGCTTTCCAAAATGACTTAACGTGATGAAATGTTTAAAAAAGTGCAACTTTAACACAAAAGGAAGACCAAGATGAATTGTTCAGCCGTACACAGGTTCTACACTTACAATACTGCAAACAGTGTTATAAGATGCAGGAACTGTATTCTGTATTCTTCTTTTCATGGTTAGTTTTTTGTGGCAGCAATGTAACAACATTTTTGTACTAAAAACAGCAATCTTACAGTGTAACAGTGTTACAGCACAAACAACGGAGGCTTTACTGTCAACAGAAGGTGGCGCTGTGTGACGACCACCAGCACATTCTAACTTATATCTGGGAAATAAACAGCACGTGAAGAAAAAACTGTAAACAACTGTTTCTAAAATGCCCGCTCACGAAACTGGCTGCTTATCGGGACGGGTTTTCTGTCAACTTTCTGAGCCAACTAAACAACAACATGTACAGCACAAAATTATACAAAAAATGTAAACAAATTAATTTCATTAGTCATCAAACTGGGGTTAAAAACAGCAAAAAAAAGCTGCTTCAATTCACTTGATCCTTCCTTTGACAATGGAATATGGCAGGAAAGATGAAATGGAATAGTGCCTTCTTTTCTTTTTTTGTTGCATGAGGTGACAGAGTGGTGGTGTGTGAATAAGAATCGATGGAGTGCGTTTGGGTGGGGTGCAGGGGGAGTCAGAGGTGACCAGATGTGACGGCGGTGAGAGTGACGTCTGGTCCCGTGGTGCCCCGCAACCCCGGCTCGGTTGAGTAAAGAGCTTAGCCGAGGCTGGTGATGTTGGCTTTCCCGCCAGGGGGAGCCACGATGCGTTGAGTGGTGCGGCGGGGGACGTTGTCGTCAATTTGGGCACCTAGAAAGTGAAGGTAGAAAACAATGTAACTTAAAGCCATAATATGTAACATTTCTGAGAAATACCCAGAGAAATCTGTCAATCTATTGCAATGGCGTCATATCGCCTTTGTGCATGTGTCAGTGTTTACAATACACATTTTACATTTTGGTAGTTTTTAACTATATATTTTAACCTGATGAAGGATTTTAGTCATNNGTTATCAGAGAAACAAGCTGAGCCAATATTAACAGCAGCTCGGCTCGCAGCCCCTCTGGGACGTCCTTTGTCTGCCAAATAGTGTCGTTTTTTTTTTAAATGTAAAACTGCTTTATTCAGTTTTTTTTCCAGTTTCAATCACTTGGTCTATTTGTTTTGGAGAGGAAGAGACCTCTGCGATAATTTGGCTCCCTTCGAAACCTCCTGACCGAGGAACATTGAAGGAATCCTAACCCGGAGAAGATGACTGCAATTCAAAAACTCCCACGATCCCATGATACTTCGCAACATCAGCAACCTATCAAACTTGATGTTTTGTTATTGTTTTGTGTCTAGAGACAGAACTTACATATTGCACGTTTAAGTCCCTTTTTGTGAGCGAAGCCAACTGCCAGGGATGAAATGTGTGCTTTCACTCACCAGACAGACTGAAGCCAGACTGGTGAAGGTTGCGCACTGGCTGCTGGTGGGCAAACTGCTGCTGCTGCTGCTGCTGCTGCTGCTTGGCGGGGGAAGTCTTCACCGAGGAGACTGTGGACATCACCTTGGGAGTCACAGTCACCTCACACACCGGCCCGTCGTACTGGCCCCTGGGGACTCCTCGCAACTCTGTGAGCTAAACATACGGGCACAGTTCATCAGAGCCACAGCTGTGTAAGCTCACCAGCTGTATTTTCAGAATTCTGTTTCTCAAGAGGTGCGAGTACCTGCAATCAGAACTCACCCTGCTGCGAGCCTTTATCCTCTTGTACACGTGGTCGGAGAAGGGTTTGCGGCTGATGTAGCGCCCGCAGCCCTCCATGGTGTGAAGGCTGCCCTCCTCCAGCACAATCTTGCCCTGGCTGATCACCACCACAGGACCTCCACGCACTTCTGTGCCCTCAAAGATGTTGTACTCCACAGCCTGGGAGGAGAAGAGACAACAAGAAACACAGCTCAGAGTCCAGGGAATGCATACTGTGCCCAGGCATTACTTGATTAGCATAAATAATGCAGTTTGATTACACAACACTTGTTTTCTGATTTCTTTTTTCTAAATAAATATGATGAATAAAGAAACAGACTGCTTTAAACTGACTTTCAATTGGATATCATATTAATATATCTGAAAGTTGTTGTTTTGCCTGCAGGACACAGTTCACTGCAATTTACATTAATGGTCTACATTACATTACATTAAATAAGTAATGTGATGACTTGCAGTCCCTCTAAGTACGTTTAATGTTTTTAATGATTACTATTAGTGTTTGCACTGTATATTCTATTTTTAATTCCTTTTCAGAGCGCCTTGGTAGCTGTTACACCCCTGAGGTCATATATGAAAATGTTCTCTGTATCTGCGTATGTGCTTTAACCTCCCCTGTGCCTGTGGTGTGGACCTCTCTCTCTCTCTCTGCTGTGGTACCTGTGTGTGATGGGATGCAGGTGAGTTTGGCTGATTGAATGATTGATTGTGTGAGTGCGTAGGTTGTTCCAGCCTCCATGCTTGTGGTTTAAAAGGCCGACCCTCACAAGGCAGGTTTTCTTCTCTCTAATTCCAATTCAATGAAATCTGCTACCTGATGTAACAGCCCAGGTTCAGTAGGGGTGGGTAGCGTTTGTGTTTCTCCTGTTTTTGATTAAGAGTTAGGTTAGTGACTGGTCTTTTTGTTTCTTTTATTTAAATTGGTAAGTTAAGCTTGCTCACCTTTGGTTCCCTTTTGTTTTTGCTGTTAGCCCTCCCTCAAACTTAAAGATTTTTAATTAACCATTCAAAGGGCTGCAAACTCTGTTGTTGGTGCTTCTTGGGAGCTTGGAAAAAGAGTCTCATTTCCCCCCCATGTTGTGCCAGGGATTCCCCTAGGCCAGGTTGTAACAGTAGCCCAATGGTGTTTGTTGCATGCCATACCCTTCTCTCTTCCTATTTCCTGTCTCTCTGCAAAAAAAACCCCAAAACAACATCATCTGGATTCTGTGTCATTCTGTATAAATAAATCTACTGTTGCACCTGTAGACCAGTAGTAGTACCCCCTTCTTAAAGGTCTGGTGTGTAGGATTCAGTGGCATCAAGCGGTGTAGTTGCAAATTGCAACTACTTCGCTCCATCCTCCCCTTTCAAGTGCAAAGGAGTGACTACTGTGACCATGAAAAATGCAACCTGCTCCATCTATAGTTTGGGTGTCTGTTCTGGGCTACTGTAGAAACATGACTGTTCAACATGGTGAACTCTGTGCAAAGAGGCTCCCCGAGTAGATAAAAACCGCTCATTTGAGGGTAACAGATACACAACGGACCTTTAGCATGTATGCAATGTGCATTGCAGGCTCACATACAACCTGTAATCTTTTAAGAGTCAGACAAAGTAATCATCTGACCAGGTTGTGGTTCTTGGCTGAGATGATCTTAGTGACATCCGGGTCCCACAGCACGAGGTCAGCATCAGACCCCACAGCGATGCGGCCCTTTCGGGGGAACAGGTTGAAGGTCTTGGCTGCGTTGGTGCTGGTCACTGCCACAAACTGGTTCTCATCCATCTTGCCAGTCACCTTTAGGTTAAGAACAACAAATCACATACTAGCACCTAAACACGCATAAAAAGGTAATTTGCTTCGTGATTGGCATTTTTGGACTGTGTGGAAAGTGGATCGTATCAAGCTCACCACACATTTGTCCCAGATTAGAGACATCCTCTCCTCAGTGCCATTGGTGCCCTCTGGGATTAAGGTAAAGTTATCTTTGCCTATCGCACGCTGAGAAGTCTGGAAAGTGCAGTGAGCACTACCAGTCACCTGCAAGTCCCCACTAGATAGGAAAGAAAGCAAGAAAACTAAGGATACACTTCATATGTGGAATTATTTGTGACAAACGTGTGACATTCATAATTCCATCTTTGTATTAAATGCATGTAAATGTTACGAAGGACATTTCATAAAGAAACAAAAAAAGGTACAGCTGAATAAAAATAAAATGCAGCACACAGCAGTAACACACGTCAACTGTGTGCCAGCTATCTTTAGGTCCAGTAACGGAGCACCTACCATGACAACAGAGAGTTGAGGTAGTCGGGGGTGGTGGGATCGGGACTGAGCGGTGGAGAAGTGACATAGGCTGCAGCCTTGGCCCAGTTCTTGCTCCAGTAATGGGTACCGTCTGTGCCCAGGCTGGCAGATATGGGCTCTCCGTAAACCACAGCACCTACAGGAGTAGACAGGGTGATGTCAGCTCAAATAAAGTGGAAGACAAACACACAGATAAAAAAAAAAGGTGCAGTTGCAAATATCTCTTCTTACCTTTTTTCCTGGCGAGGGCAATGACATCAGCAGCACTCTTGCTCATCACCTTGGTGATGTAGAGTGGACAGTTGGTCTGATTGGCTATGGTGACAGAGCGATTGACTGCCTCGGCCTCCACCTGCAGACACACAACGTCAGATTCATCAGCGGGCTGGTTTCCAAACCGGCTTTCTCTTTAAAGTGCTTCTGGCTACAGCTACTGAGAAACCAGTCCTCCGTCTTACCTCCTCTGGGCGGCTGAGCACATGACCTTCAGGGCCAGTGATCCCCAGCTCTAGAATACGTCTCTGCTCCTAAAAAATACACACAAAAACATCATGATCTAAAATGGCATTAACTGCTTTCAGCTGAAACTTGAACAACCAGCAGCTCTATAGCTCGCTCTGTTGGTTGGTCGGGTTTCCCCACCCTTTGGCGGTCACAGTTTTTGCCCTAGAAGGCTGAAATCTGGTATGGAGGTCAAGTATGTGTGTGTTTACGCCAATAAGCAAAAGGGCTTGTGACCAATAACAAAAAGGCGCATAACTTCTAAACGGATTAATGTAACATGAACTTTGTAGAAAGACACACATCAGTTCATTGGTGCACAAAGCTGTGCCTAGCCTATAGAAACCACAACTTTCTATCTATGAGGCTGAACTTTGCCTTAAACTCGAAAAACCAGATTCATCTTAAGAATTACCATTAAGAAATTCTATAAAACTTCCATACTTGGGGACTCTTAATGGTTTGGTAATAAAAATCCTCTACCACAATAACTAGGCTATTATGTGAGATATGTAAAGCAGCTTTGTACGTTGATTAATGTCTATTCTGTATATGTACTGCATGGGTTCTATTGTTTTGTATGTAAATTCTGTACTGTTTTTGGAATAATTTATATAATTTGTATACACTGTTAACTAAAATACCAATAAACAGATGTGTTTGTAAGGTTGTGTGTGTGTGAATGCATGAACATGTGGAAGCATGCACAAATTCGCACTCGTTAGGCGTCCTGTTACCTCTGCAATGATGTCTCCATTCTCAGCATGCACCTGGGCAATGGCTCCAAGGTCCCTGATGACACTGAACACCTCATAGATCTAAAAGAATATGATACTGGTCAGATCGTAGGGCAGGCCATCAATGCCAGAGACATCCAACAGCCTCAAAAACATATGCTGCGACAGACAGACAGCTCAGTCGAGCGTGCAAAGCCACAGAGCATACCTGATAGTCAGAAAGTTGGAAAACATCCTTATAAGCCAAATAGACCAGGAAAGAGTTGACACCTGAAGATAGAAAACTTATGAGAGAAAACAGCCAAAAGGTGGAATAAAGAGAGCAAAAGAGGGAAAACGCAGAGCGAAGGAGAAAAGTAAAATCAAAACAATAAAAATTACAAAGCAGAAACATTTAGTTACTGTTTTATGGTCTGTGTAAACTGTTTTTTTTCCCCATGCAATGTCTGAGAAACACTTTTTATTGAATCATAATGACTGAAAAAACACTTCAGTTAGAGCCCGACCGATATGGGATTTTAAGTGTCATACAGCTTATCCTACCAACAGTCGAGTTTCAAACCAAATTCACACCTATGTTTAAGTAGATGATTTGAGTGAGGGGCTAAAATACTAAATTTTCCATGACAACTTCGATTATTTCCAGGATATTTGATCATTTTAATACATTTCCAGTTGTTTCCATGTACATTTTCAGGTTTTCCAGGATGCGTGGGAACCCTGATAAAGAATATTTAAGTTTATTATTCTTTAACATGTTAAATAATTTAACATATACATTGTAGATTAATTCTAGTTGACATTGCTGAGGGCTGCTGCTTCTCTCTTACTCTGTACTGTTTGCCACAGTATCGGAAATCGTGGTGGCCTCTGTATAAACTATAATACAACTATAATATCTTACCACAAGCCTTTTTTCTGCATTATAAAGTACACAGTTTCCATATTGTGCGCTTATTGGATAAAATATATGCCAATGGTGATATGCTACAGATACGTCTGTGATAGCCCAATATCGGCTGACCAATATATCAGTCGGGCTCTAGTTTCTGTACCAGTAAAAGTTGCAGTGAGTCAGTGATTTTCAGATTTGATGTATGTGAAGACAAAATGTGAATACGCTGACTGCATACCATGATCCTTCACTAGGGTCTCCATCTCTTCCTGAGTGCCTTTGTTCCAGTCGGTGATGTCCACATGCAGAGAATAGTCACAGCAGGACTTGCTATCAGCCCACTCCCTCCACTGTTTGAAAGCCGCCACCAGGCTGGCGCCAGGCTCCGGCACCACGTGGTCAACTATAAAACACAGACAGGCAGGTTGCATTTCATATGCACAAGCAAACTCCGTAATTAAATCACACGCATGACGGCACGCACATCTGCAGTGTTACAACCCCTGCAACAGGATGACTTTGCTTTTAAACGGGTTGAGAAACGCATGTGGAAATGTGTCTGATGTAACACATACTGATCATAGTCGTCCCCCCAGCCAGGGCCGCCCTGGTGCCCTGGTAGAAGTCATCTGCTGCCACCATGCCTCGGTCAGGCATCTGGAATCGGGTGTGCACGTCAATACCCCCAGGCATCACCATTCTCCCATGAGCCTCTATGATCTTAACTCCCCCGGGAACAATAAGGTTGTCTCCTATTTGCCTGAAGGAGACAAATCAAAGAAAGAAAACACAATGAATGAAAGAAAAAATTATTAAATTCAGACAATCTAGATTCCAGGAATCAAGGTAAAGTTGTGCCTTCTTGTAGATATAATTCAATATTTTGGCCCCTGCGGGAGTTAGGAGCCCACCTGGATTGCTACAACAAAAACTATTTTTTTTTAGCCCTGTTAATCTTCAACTTAAACTTACTTGATGACTCCATCCTCCATGTAGATATCAGCCAAGAATGACTGATCATCGTTCACTATCTTTGCTCCTTTGATGAGGAGACGGTCACTCTGAAAGGAGGAGACAGCGTTTTACATTACTTATAAACCACAGTGAAATTCGAGCCACCTGCTGAGCAGAGTAAAAGAGCAAGAAATCAACTCTGTTAATCCCTTGTAGCTAATAGTCAGATCCATAATTCAACAGTAAATTTGACCAATTTCAAAGAAAAAATACTTTTTTAGAGCAGAAAAAAACCTTGGGCCAACTTTAGTGATTCATTTAGCTCAAGGCATTTCCCAGTTTGCTCAGAGAAATCAACAAGACTTTTATTAAGGCAGAAACAGTGGTTAGCACATAGCTCATACAAACAGCGATCAATCCATACCACCTTTCAACCTGTGGAAACAATGCTTAGGGTAATCCTACATGATTTATTCACGCACAGCAGAGATTGTCACTTGAAAGGAGGGAGCTCTACTCTTAATTAAAGCCTTCGAGTAAGAGCACTTGAGTGGCACAATTAACCTAACCTGTTAAAGATGAAAGGAGAGCACACTAGGCTGCCCTATTTCTCCTACAGGCTTCCCGGGGTCTCTGAGGACAGCGAGGAGAGCTAATGAAGACAAAAGTGGTTTACTGCAAACCTCACAGCAGGAAATACTCGGAAATATACGTTTCTAATGTGCAGAGTGGGTGGACACGAACAGCGGGAATGCTTTAGGTATACAAGCTGTGGCAGGATTGACATGATCTGCCAGGCCATTACTACTCTCCTAAAAGTGGGTCATATAACCTATGTACTCTGTGTGGCCGAGCGATCAGCAACGAGCGCACTGTGACTGTCATATACCTCAGCTCAAAATGGCTTTCATTGTGCATTGCTGTAGTCCATGTATCAGAATGTATATACTGTATATATGCACTTCTCTGCAGTAAAAAGGGCCCCTTGTGATTAATCCTGTAATCTACAGTCATAAAACTGAATTGATTACTGAGAAGTGAGTGTACTCAGTAAGGGGCTCAGAGTCAAGCAGTGTAGGCTATACTTTAAATAGAAGTAGGAGTGCGTTACATACACACAACTACACTCAGTTGCCAGTTTATTAGGTACACCTAGCTAATGTAGTCTAATGCAGAAAGGTGTTTCCAACCCTCAAATTAATAGAAACACCTGTCAGTATAACACAATACAATTCAACAGCAACACAAACGGCAGCTAGGGCAGCACAAAATGGAAAATACCATCATATTACGATTATTCTGACAGATACTGCGATTGCAATATGATTCACAAGAAGTGTGCGAATTATTCTGAAAAAGACTGTTAAAGTCGGGATAATGTGACATTTTCTGGGGTTTGTACCAAACAAACATGTTTTTCTTAATTTTAGAGAACAAGGTTTTTAGGCCAGAGCATCTCCAGTACTTCATTATAATGCTGTTTTGTCAGATATTTTAATTTCTGCTCCTGCGATTTGCATATTGCTCTTGGCCATATTGCGATTTCAATAAT